TATTTTGGCCATAACTTCCTCATTATTCATCGGAATTGGGCTTATAATATATCGTTGGAAGGTCTTTTGAATCTCCATCCAACTACACTATTATTGGACCCATATCATGGACCAAAGTAAAATAGAATGCACATTTTTCATAAATAGGGTAAGAAAAGAAATATTTTCAAAAACAGAAAGAAGAGATATTTTAATAAAAACATCCTCATCACTAGACTTTTCACACATTTGCTTCGTTCGATAATCAATGACGTGAAAGGTATTCATCACTGGATTTGGTTTTGTGGAGACACATTTTGGTGTCTACAGAAGCCCCCACTTTGACTGAGTTTGGAGAAACACAAGTTTCGAAAACAAAAGTCAAAGTAGCCATTAGGACGGAGAATGATTCGTAACGTTCTGCGATCCTAAATCATTCTTGTAACGCCGATACCTGCAAACTAACGTTAGTTTAAAACAGATAAAAGAGTTAAGAAACGCGTATCTTGCACCGTCGAGCACACGTCTCTGGGGGTAACCAATTTGTTGCATTTACCATTGTGACAACCTTCCACAAGCTAGGGAACGCCATCTTGTTGTTTTGATGTTCACTCGTCTCTGAACAATGGAGTTTTTTTTTTATATTTCCACGCATCTCTGAACAAAGAGCTTTATATGATATGCCCACGCGTCTCTGAGCAAAGAGCTTTACGTTTTTGTTTGACGAACTTCCTCAAGCTAGAGGATACGACGTGAAGACTGCTACGCCTGTAACTGCCTCCAATTTTTGATGTGATAGTCTTCTGCAAGCCAGAGAACCCTATCGAAGATTGCTTCGCCTGAAACGACCTTCAGTTGTTGCGATAATATTCCAAAGAAAATTACCGAAGACCAATGCTTGTTGATCCTTAAAGCTCGATTGAACTTTGTTGCCGATGCTTTGGGTGATGACAATCCTCTTTTCTTCAGGAACAGTTTGTTAGTTGAGACGATTAATACAAGAGGGAGGGTGTTGTATTAAGTTCCTAATGACTACTTTTTGTGGAATAATAAATAATGCATATAGGAACTTGCTAGAACACACAGATTTTACGAGGAAACCTTCCAGGGCCCAACTGAAAGTAAAACCTCGACCCTGCCTTAGGAATTTCAAACACACAAACTCCACTATAATAGGGCAAACACCAAGTTACAACCTATTAGACACGGACCTTTATTTTCACAAGATCCTCACTAGACTTGCTACTTGATAGGACCCTATCCTACCCAATCTAAGTACCACACTTAGATTCACTCGTACCACCAAAGTACTACACGTACTGCCAAAGTACAAACTACTTCTACCACCTAAGTACAGAACTCTCAGCCTCACCTCGAAGCTTACAAAATTGTATGTAAAGAAAACAATAAAATCACCCAAATAACCCAACCCAATACAAGTGAACGACACTTAGTATGATAGGTAAGCAATGCACAAAATTCGAAACTAATATGACAAGTTAGAAGCTTGGTAAACTTACTCAATTATAGCACTGTGATTTCTCCATGCATAAACTCACAAAAACCTAAAACCATTTTGCTCTCTACTATTTATACAAGTATCACTCTTATAGAAAGTAGGTTTTCTAAAAGATAAATAAGTTAACTTAACTTATCTTTAAACACAGTTTTATGTAAATCAAGTGGAATAAAATCTTTTCCGGAAAGATTAAAAAGATATTTGTTAAAAATATTTATCTTTTTAACAAAATTATTTAAATATAAAAATCTTTTTAGAAAATCTTTTTAGAAAATCTTTTCCTAAAATCTATCTTTTATAATTTTCCATATTATTTTATTTACCAAGCCAACTTGTCACGCTTCTAATAAATTTCGCGCAATAATCTACTTATCATATTAACAATAATCTATAAGATAAAAACCTTAACTAAATATAATTATTGTGCCGCGCTTTTAATCAGCTTATTAAGTTCCACCATAGAACTTAATTCGTGGTGGAACTTGCGAGAAAGGTCTGTAATAATAGGTTGTACTAGGAGAGTTGTCTATTATAGTGGAGATTGTTTGAAAGTCCCAAGAAAGGCCGAGGTTTTAGTTCCAGTTAGGCCCTGGAAGGTTTCCTCGTAAAATCTACTTTGCACTCTTTAAGTTCCTAACTATAACTGTTTTATATTCTGCGAAAATTAGGCACTAGGAACTTACTACAATTCCCCCCCCCTCTTGTAGTATACCATCTGAAATAATAAAGGGGGTTCAGAGGTTTTTGTAGGGTGTTTAGTGGTTCGTGGTTGAGGTTTAGAAGTTTTTGTAGGGGGTTCAAAGGTTTTTGTAGGGTGTTCAGTTGTTCGTGGTTGGGGTTTAGAAGTTTTTGTAGGGTGTTCAGTTGTTTGTGGTTGGGGTTTAAAAGTTTTTGTAGAGGTTCAGGGGTTTTGGTAGGGTGTTCAGTGGTTTGTGGTTGGGGTTCATAGGTTTTTTGAAGGTGGTTAAAATATTTTTTAAGGGTGTTCGGTGATTTGTAATTGATTTTCATGTTTTTGTAGGGGTTCAGAGGTTTTTGAAGGTGGTTAAAATATTTTTTAAGGGTGTTCAGTGATTTGTAATTGATTTTCATGTTTTTGTAGGGGTTCAGAGGTTTTTGAAGGTGGTTAAAATATTTTTGAAGGGTGTTTAGTGGTTTTTAATTGTAGTTCAGAAGTTTTTGTAAGGGTTAAGAGGTTTTTGAGGTTAATTTAGTGTTTTTTGGTGGCTTATCAGAAAATTCTAGGGGCTTATCAAAAGTTTATGGGGGATTTTGTGTTGCTTTCTAGTGTCTTATCAGAAGTTTCTTGAAGGTGTTTAGTAGTTGGTATATAATTAAATATTAAACAGCAAAAGAAGGAAATACACACCAAAGAAATTATTATTTATACCAAATATGCTTAGTAAAATTTATACCCAAATTATTACTTCATACAACACATATATATATGGACATAAAAGGCAACGTATATGAACATTAAACAGGAAATATAATAACAAAAAATGAATGTAATGGATATAGAATGATTAACATCAAATTTGCTAATTTTATTGCACAATCCACCAAAATTTGTCAAAAAGCTCTAACAAAAAAAGAAAAGAAAAACAGCAAATCTCCATTGTTTTTAACAAAATACAAAAAACTTTATATAAAAGTGGATAGAGAAAATAGATTTTTCCCCATTGGTGAAAATTTTAGAGCTTCTAGTAATTTAGAGGTAAAAAAAGGGATAATCAAAATTGTCAACGAGGGAAGCAAAAATAAGCTTCAAATTGGAGAGAGAAAAATAAAAAAAAATGGCTGCTGAAAGTTTTAATTTAGGTTTTCAAAGAATTTAGAGATAGAAAAAAGAGAATATAAAATTCAATGGTGAAAAAAAAAAGTTGGGCTTCTTTCTGTTGGATGCAGGCTTCTTTCTATTGGACATGGACTCGCTGGGCTGGGCGGCGGATTGGGCTTGGTGCACCTATTTTTAGGTGCACCATAGTGCATGTAATACTAATTGCAACAAATATAATGAACCAAGCTTTGTATATAGGTTTGGCACCAGAAGAAGAAATAGGAAGGATAATCGCTGCTAAAGAATAGGGGCCGTGATAGCTACAACAGCACAACGTAACTGCCATGAGAGAGGCCTATATTAACAATAAGAGGTCAAGACTCAAGAGGCATAAGAATATAGAATAAAGAATCAATCATGTAATCAAACTATACTTCATGTTTCTTTAAGCCATCTTAGTTTCTTAGCATAGTCGCATAGATTAGCTAGTGTAGCAATAGCACTAACGGTTGAATCACTAGTAGAAAAATGCTTATTAGTACCACCCTATTAGTAACTGGCATAAGGCTAGTTATTATAAGAGTATTAGCAATCAATGTTACTAATGTGCGTTACAAATAAATTAGCACTTTTAACTTGCGTTATTCAGGCCCGTTACAAATTTATATTCAAACCTTGTTGACCTATATTAGTAGTAACGGACTTTACAAAGCTAGTTACAACGAATTTTTTAATTTTTTTTTAATTTCCCTTAATTCTTAATGATGTGAACTCATGGAGAAAATCTATAACCTCCAATTGTGATTAATAATGGAGGGAATAACTCTTCCTCCTTGTATCTAACTCAATCGTAAGCTTGTTTTTTTTTTTTTTTTTTTTTTTTTTTTTTTTATCTCAATTAAACTCCTACTCCCTCCGTTTTTTTAAGTTCCAATAACTTTGGGTACATAATTTTAGACAAAAAAAAAAAAATAATATATAGGTTTGTATATGTTTAGGAATAAAAAAATTGGAAAAGTAAGATAGAGAAATATAAATGATGACCATTAGGAATAATGTGAGATGGAGGGAATATTATAAAATGGTAGAGGGGTTAAAAGGAAGAGGGATATATATATGTATATAATGTGGGGCACTTAAAAACGGCCGCTTTAGGAAAGTGGGGCAATTAAAAATAACAAAGGGAGTACTTGTATTGTATTTGTGTAGAATGACAAATAATTTGTCTTGTTTTTTTATTGTTTGGTAATAATATATTACATATACAATAAGGTCTTTTTTAGTTCAACTTATGTTTGCTTATTTCGAAAAAGATAAGTTCGAATATGAAAAATTAAGTTCATCATATCAAAAAAAAAAAAAAAAAGTTTATATCAATTCATAATTTTATATGTTGTGTTTTATAACTAAATTATATATTTAAATTCCGTTATGAAAAAAATTATGAAAATTACATATTAATAAAATATACATTATTACGAATCTTATAAGGTCATATCAAAGTTTAGTTAAATCAAATAATTAGATCATATCAGATCAAATATCAAATCAAATAAGCAAAAACAAGGTGAACTAATAAGGCTTGAAACTCAAAGATTAGTAGTTCTAAGTGCAGGGGAGGATTAAGCATATGGACACCTGGATGAACAATGCAAGTTACACGGTAGAGCCTTTTTAGTCCACTTAGAGGTGCACTTTTTAATCTGAAAAGACCACCCACAATAGGTTGAGAGTATTGAAACATTTCTTATAATAATAGTGATGTAAAGGAAGAATAATTTGCTTTTTCCCCACCACTAAACCATTATTATCCTAATAAAAATAAATTATATATTAAAAAATAAAAATAAAAAAAAAGCATCCATTTTCTTAATAGGTGCAGCTTTGAGGGTTCAAGAGAATATGCATGGATCTTCCTTTAAGCTAAAATTTTCCAGCAAATTATCATCAAACTTTTTAGGCAACCCATAAACTAGTTAAATCTTTTAACTTAACAAAACACCTCTTTCCTTCACCCTAAAGAAACTCCTTTAGGATACAACTAACCCTTCAACCATTATCTTCATCATCCTTTGTCTTCTCAAGCTTTAAACCAGCCGTTGATGGAAGGCGGCTGCTGGCATACGGCCGCCGGTTGCGAACCGACACCTAAGAAATCCCTAGTTTGCCCTCCACTTCCTACACCAACACCTCTTTGGGTATGACTGTCTACATGATCATTGATCAACTTCTGACGCTTGGCGGGGTTAGGAGTGTATATGGTTGTCATGGTAGAGAGATCATCGACCGAACCCTCGACATCGCTCCCAGCATTGGTGGTGGTTGAGTTAGAAATACCAAAAACCGAACCTCTCCGGTTGAAGTTGTCGTGATCTATTTCATTAGTATTTTCCTTCACTAAGCCAAAGTTTCCATGGAAAAATGCATCATTTGTATTGGTAGAAGAAGTAGAGCCTATTTGAGCAGCTTTTTGTAGTAATGCTGTGGCTGACATAATGTGGGAAGAATTGTTTGGGGATGTTTGATGATGAGTGCTATATAATGAAGGAACTGATGTAGTAGTATTAGTTGTAGTTGAAGTAATTTCATTGGTTAATACACCTAAATCTTCATCATTATTTTTGTTATTTTGTGGATTATTATTATTGTTATTAGATATTTTACTTCCAAATACCCAATTTAATTGATGGTAATTATTATCTTCAGGTTGGTGAGAATTCGAACCCAAGACCCCTAGAGGGGTATTATGGGGATTTAAGGAGTTGATAGTGGAGCTAAGGTGTTGTAAATTATGGGCTTGTATGGGTATATTATTAGTAGAGTTTTGAATTGAATCATACCCTCCACCAGGTTGAGCCAATTGGTTACCTAACCACAAGGGAAATACTCCACCCCTTTGCTTTTGATGTTGATCAAGCGCGATTTCATCTTTAGTTGATGATGAAAGAGGCCTAAAAATGGAAGAAAAATGTTGTGCCATGGCGACTGCAGGTCCGATATTAGAGCCCATCATATGATGGTAGTTGAGGTTATTGTTTGTTGCTACCGCGGCATTAAGGTTGAAATGGGTGCTTGCTGCGTTCATTCTTGCTGTTTCTTCTGCTAAGGCGTCACAAAAGGCCCTATGCGTAATGAAGCTATCCCTCCTGCTTAAATAAAGGGACAATAATAAGTGATTAGTTAATTACATATGAAAGTTAAGTATTCTAAAATATATAGAGATATTTTGCAACGATTTTGTTTGATTAATTAATCTAAGATATTTTGCAACGATTTTGTTTGATTAATTAATCTACTGGATCTTAGACCAACCTAGATTATTAGAATATTGTATTGTATTATGTCTTGAGAGTTGGTAAAAAGAAAAGGCATGGTCAAAATCTTGAGTAAACTGCATTGGATTTCACTATTACCAATAATGGGACTTCAAATTATGTGATAAGTTACACTTACGGTAACATAGCGAGAGTGACGTGACTAAAGTTCAATATTAATATTTCAAACCTAAGATGTATGTCCCTAATAATAGATCAAATTTTGATTTTTGCTTCTTATATTATAAGATAGTAATTCATAAGTTGTAATATTTAGTCACATTTTCAAACAACAATAGATAGGAATAATGTAAAAACAACGGCATAAGTACGTAAAAATAATTTGAATGAGCAACGAAATATATATGATTTTTATACTAAATCAAATAATTATGAAATTGACATTCAATCAAACAAATCTATTATATTATATTATTAAAAGTCGAAAGAATACTTCGTAAATATTGCATAACACTCAATTATTATAGAGGGGTCATACTATATACTTCTTTTACCAATATTCATATTTGGCCCATGATGCTATTGAGAAGTTTAGATCAAGAATGAAACAATTTTAAGTTTCTAACCCAATTACTATTGCAACATAATAAAGACAATTATAGGAAGGGTCAATAATTTTAGGAGACTCAAATCTCCATGCAATGAAAATATATACCATGACAATCATGCAACAAACCATATTATAGATATGGTACTACAAAATCATGTAACTATATATTTGTCCTCATCTTGCCATATCTACCCCCACCTTCATACCCCACTACTCCCATACATACAGATAGATGTTACTGTCATATAGCATCACTTTTCTCCATTTCTTAAAACATCTCCACCTTAAAAACTTTCTTCTTTAGATCATGCTTAGTGCTACACTACATAAAATAAACTTGATCTTTTTATTACCATGAAGATATCATGTATATACAGTTTTACTCTAAAATAATTAGATTTTAAGCTATAATAGTGACTGCCAGCTATGATAGTTCGCTTAGTATACTCTAGTTGATATTGATATAATCGAGATCTAATCACGTCTACATCACTGCTTATTGTAGCTCTTAAAAGAACATTATTGTGTTTTATGTACATAATACTTAGATGCAGCATGAATGAAATCTTTTAAATATTATAACTTGCGGTTATCATCATATATATACTACGATCTAGAAAAGAAATTAAGTAAAAAATAATTCAATTCATTTACTTAGAATGAAGAAATAATTAACACATACCTTGAGAAAATAGTCCCACAATCACACTTGTATTCCCTAGTTCCACAAGTTTTGGAATGAGCCTTACAATCAGACTGAACAGCATACTTCTTATTACACTTCTCACACTTCCATTTTTTCTCACCATGCTTCCTACAAAAATGCTTCTTAATGCCGGTAAGGTCACCAAGTGCTCGAGAGGGATGATGGTGAACACAAGTCTTTTCGGGGCAAACATAGACGCGTTTCCTTGGCTCTTTGCTAGTCCTTTGCTTGAGCTTCCATGGTAAGTTATGACCTCGACGATGAAGTTGTAGATTTTGATCCCTTTGAAACCCTTTCCCACATATTTCACATAAGAATCTGTTGGTTGCCATTAGGGTTTTTGGTGATAAAGCTATTACTTCTGCTTCTGGATCTAAAAGATGCAAAAGATAGATAATAATTATATATAATTATCAATATTATTATTATTAGGTAATTATGAGTTTATCATTTATGAATACACCTAGGTAGCCTTCATCATTATACCATAAAGGTGGAACAACAAAAGTTACAAAAAAAAATGTTGATTTATCATCAACTTTTATACTAAAAAGAAAGAATTATTCCAATATAAATAAATAAAAACAAGAAAATAAATAAACTTGCCTGGATTTCCTGGTAAGTTTCTCTTCTTCTTAGGAGCAATAGGATCATTAGTTGATCCAATAACGGGTGTTAGTAGAAATCCATTTGTAATTACTTCTTGATCAGCCATTCTTTAGGAAGGTTTTCGCTAAAATTAATTATGATGCTTGGATTAAATAAGAGAAAACTTAGTTACGAAGCTTGAAAATGGAGCAAAAATTAAAAGAAGGATGAAAAAGATTTGATTTGTGATTTAAATTTGAATTTCTAAAGATGATGGAAATATTGATTGAGTTCCTCTCTTTCTTTCTTTCTCTATGATATAGACGTAAAGTGGAAAATTAAAGATGTGATTAAGTGATGAAAACTAACACTAGGAAAGAAGGTTACACCTAGTTATATATGCTGAAAGATATAGGTATAATAGTTTAATTAATTAAAGAAAATATTTTTTTATGAATAATAATTAAACAGTTATATGTAATGTAATTATAAACTAAAATTGAAGGCTTTTGAGGATTAGCTGCCTCTTTCTTACTAGCATAATTTTTTATTTTATTTTTTTGCTAAGAAAATACACAAACTTCAAAAACACACAATGTGGTGGTTTTACCCTTTGCTTTTGGTCGGACATATTTGAGAATAATATAATTATAGTGTTGTGGATGGCGGTGAAAAGTTAAAGTTGAAGGGAGTATGAGAAGTGGGAAGAGAGAGAAAGAAAGAAATTGGCAAAGAAAGCACAAAGGTGTGCATGATGACACATATGATGAGGCTATGAGAAAGCTAATCCTCATCCTTTTTCATTTGGAATGATTACCCCATAATTTGACTCCCTTTTCTTTTCTCTTCTGATTTTATCGTTTTAATATTTAGGTCTATTACTATCATTGTATCATATACTTCAATACTTGTATATAACTCTAAACTCTTTGCTCAATACATTAAATTTTGTTTTTTATCTTAAAGGATCGAAAAACTAAAGATTAAAAGTTTTTAGTATTTTGAGGTCTACAAATTCAATCAATTATCATCCTTAACAAAATAAAAAAAATGTATATATAACACTCTAAAGTAAAATAATTATAAAAAGAAGTTGATAGGGCCGCGATCAATGCGTGATATTATTATCCATTTCAAAAGTAGTGTTAGCAAAATCTTACTCAATGAACTCAATTTATATAATCATTTTATGTGATTCATATATATATATATATAAATAATTACGTTCAATATACCATTTATTATTATGGTCCTAAAGCAATACATCAATTTTGTAAAGGTAAATCTATATAGCCCTTAGGGTTACAAATAAGCGTTAATCATATTTTTTTTAAGTAATTAATGAATATATTTCAATAATATTTTTCTCTTTTAGCTTCTAATAATACATACTCTTAAGGTTATGTATGACATTTTTCATTTTTAAAAGGTAATTCTTGATTGTTTGCTGCATTAATTAGTGTCAATCGTCAACTATTAGGTTGTAATATGGGTTTTTTACCTAAATAATTCAATAAAGATATTTAATTATTGACAAGTGAATAAAGAGTAGAGCAGGGCAGAACAGAGTAGATTTCAGCAATAGAGCAGAGAGTAGCAAATCTGAAGAATAGGGCCTAAGTCCTCCCTCCATTTTTACCCTAGACACGTGGACCAATGAGAGGTCGCCACGTGTCAAGCTCGGGATGGCCCATGTGGCTCAACATCCTCTTGACACTTGGCGCCCTCAGATATGTTTCTGAATTGGCGGCTTTCAAAGGCCCAAACTCCTAAGAGCGCCGTAAAACGGCGTATCCCACCAGAATGTAGGTCAAGTGACCTAGGTAGGGGCACATTTTCCAACGACCCTATAAATAGGGAGATATTTCCCCATTTTGGGGACACATTCAATCATTTATTACACCCTTATTCTCTTACATCAGAGAAAGACTTGAGCTTGGAATCCAAGCAGATACCCACCTAAATTTTCGTTCTCTCTATTCTGTTTCAAGTTACTAACTTGTGCGTCGGAGGCGGAGCACCACCCAACCGGTGTCTCCGTTTGTTTTGCAGGTACAGCTCACAGCGGATCAGTCTTCGTGTTGTAACTCTCCCAAGGGACAAAAACACCCAAAACATTTGGCGCCGTCTGTGGGGAGAGTACCTCGAAGATGGTTCAAGAGTCTGTACCACCCTCTAACCATCTGGGCGATGACCCAGAAGTTTTTACAGACCAGGAGGATGAAGATCCTCAGATTGAAACCTTTACAGCCGAAGACGACTCTCTCAGAATCAAGTGCGTCCGGCCCAGAGAGACTCTGGAGCGGGGTGCCTCCCAGGCTGGAACTCTGGATCAGCCCCTGTCACTCGAGACGAACTCATGAGATTCATGACAAGTTTCAAGGGTGAAATTAAAGAGCTGATCACCAAAAGTCGGGCTGGCCCAAGTAAAGGTCAGTCGGCGAAGAAGACTCTTCCAGAGAAGGGGAAGTCTGTCAGAAACCGGCAGCCCACTCCTCATCCAAAGGAGAAGGCAGCCGGGACCATTGATTGGTCAAGGATTCTCCTTCCTGGAAGGATACCAACAACACTCGCCGGACTCAGCAGCCGGTGAGAAGTAAAAAAGCAACTCTTGATGCCCGGGAGATCATCAACCGGAAGAGAAACCAATCGCTGTCTGAGTCGGCTTTAACATCGAACTTTCCAGACAGCTTCAACAACATTTATGCAGGGAGTGCACCCTCCTTGCATGAGAGTCAGACGGGCGGTAATACCGTCCATTCTGGTCCTCATATGATTGGAGCTGTCCCGTATGTGCCTACTCAGGCTTACGGTCAGTATCCTCCTCACTTCATGCTGCCGGCCTTCTTTGGGGGTCAGATGGCATATCCAAATGTCCAGCCATTGGACTGGAAGCTTCGTCTTCTACGCCTGGGTGAACAGCCTTCTGCGTTCACCCGGGAGATAACCGAGGCGGCCCAGCCGGCCAAGGTTAAGAACGTGTTGGTTGGTACCTATGATGGTACCACCAATCCGAAAGACCACCTCATGGATTACACCAATCTCATGTATCTGCAGGGGTTGGATGATGCCACTTGGTGTCGATGCTTCCCGGCTACATTGAAGGGTATTTCCCAACAATGGTTTGGCAATCTGCCAGCCGGGTCCATCGATAGCTTCAGGAAGCTTGCCTTCCTGTTTGCTTCTAACTTCTCAATGAACATCCCTGCTAAGAAAACAAGCCTTGATTTGAGCACTGTTAAGCAGGGAGAGAGAGAAGGGTTGCGCTCATATGTCAGGCGGTTCAACCTGATCAGAATTCAGATTCAGGGGCTGTCTGATGAGGTGGCTTTTACAGACTTTTTCAAAGGTCTGAGAGACGGGTCGACCTTTAAGTTCGACCTAGTCAGAAAAGGGGCTTTCACCCTGCAGGCGACCCTGAGGGAGGCGGAAAGCTACATTCAAGCTACCGACCTCTGTTCACCTGGAAGCCAGTCGGACTCTAAGAAGTCTGACAAGCAGAAAGACAATCGATCTGCTCAGCCGGCTAAAAAGAAAGAGGAAAGCAAGAAGAGAAAAGAGGTCTGGGCGGTTGGTGACTCTGACTAGCCGTCCCAGAAGAAGAAGAAAGAATTTAAACCGTACGTCCCAAAGTACGAGTTTAACAAGGACTGCAACTCCATCCTCATGGAGATCAAGGACCGACTGTCCCTAGAGAAGCTGAGCCCAATGAAAAGTTCCATTCAATCCAGGAACAAAAATAAATTTTGTCAATACCATGAGGAAGTTGGCCATGACACCAACGACTGCTTCAACGGACATTGGACCGTCTGGCTGACAAGGGGATGCTGAAGTCCTATATTTCTAAGTCCCCAGCCGGGGCAAAAAAGAAAAACAAGGGTCAGTCCTCCAAGACTACCCCCCAGCCTGCTAGTAGTTCGGATACCGACAAGGAGCCGGTCTACACTATAGCAGGCGGGTTCTCATGTGGTGGCCCTACCATCCGGGGCACCAAGAGTCATCTTCGAAAGATGGACAAAGAAGATGATGAGCAGGCGTCTGCCAGCTCTTCCTTCCCAGACGTCTTGATCACTGAGAAGGATAGGGGCAGCGTCCGCCGCCCTCATGATGACCCGGTGGTCATTGAATGTAAGGTTGCCAACCAGCTGGTTGGACGGATCCTTATAGACACCGGCAGCTCATCAGACATCATCAGCCTTCGGTGCCTGCAAAAGCTGAAATACAATATCAGCAGCATGCATCCGGTCACCCACCCCTTGGTTGGTTTTGGGGGTGGATGGTCTACCCAGCCGGTAGAATTGACTTACCCATCCGGCTGGGGGAGAAAGGCCAGGGACGACATATTGTCGTCAGATTCTTGGTCGTTGAGGAGTTGACGACCTACAACATCATCCTTGGCCGGCCAACTCTCAACGTAGCAAGGCAGTAATCATCCCATCTCTCATGCTCATCAAGTATGAGAGGGATGACGGCACTGTGGGTACCCTGAATGGGGATCAGAAGACGGCCCGAGAGTGTTATCTCTCAGTCGTACGAGATACCGTGGCTCCAGGCGGTCAGGAACCCATAGACCTTGACAATGTCAAGGATGCCGACCCAGCTCCTGCCCCACCAGCAGCCGGAAAGAAAAGAAAAGCACCTCTGCTGGTGGAGGTGAAGAAAGAGAAAAAATAGCAATCACTGGCCGGTGAACGGTCAGATGAGCTCCGTCCCCAACCGGCTGGTGAAAGCATTGATCTTGTTCTGGATGACAGCCGTCCGGAACGAACTATAAAGGTTGGGACGGTTTCTCATGCTACTTTGGGTGCAGACTTGCACCTTCTGCTGAAAGAATTCAAAGACATTTTTGCCTTTGAAGTGGAAGAGATGTCAGGCGTCAGCCCGGATCTTGCTGTCCACAAGCTCGCCGTGGATCCTAAAAAGAAGCCCATCCGGCAAAAGAAAAGAAACCACGGCGAGGAAAGAAGTCAGGCGGCAGCTGCCGAAGTCAAAAAGCTGCTAGACGCCAGGTTCATTCGGCCTTGTAATTTCCCCGACTGGGTGGCCAATGTGGTCCTTTTTAAGAAACCGAATGGGACCTGGCGCATGTGTGTTGATTACACGGACCTCAACAAGGCGTGTCCAAAAATAAATATTGGACAAAACCATTATTCAATGCATATGAATACAAATTAATCTATACAATTATTTTTACATTATGTATTTTCTTTATCAACTAAAGTGGAAAAGCATGTTAGCCCTATATTGACCCTACCCAATAAGAGCCCTGTCCATTAATAGCCCTGTCCATTAAAAGCCCTATAAGCTTGGCCCTGACCCTATTATCATTGGACTACCCTGTCCAATAACCACCTC